ACTTGTTCATCAAAACGCTTCGTGTGAAGTGTTCGTGGGACAAGTCCCTGCGACCAGTCCCTTCGTGTAAACTCTTCAGGGGACTAGTTGCAGGAACTAGTCCCCTCGTGTGTGCCGACCTTAACTCTATCTGTTTATAAATTGTTGAGCACAATGCCTCGGGTAATTTCTGAGCTTAAACAATTCTGTTCAAAGGAAGCTCATGTAAATATAAAGGAAATTTGCATTGAAGGAAAAACTCAGTCAGCCATGCATGACAATCCATTTCAACCTGGCTGAATTATAATTATAGTCATTAAACCATTGAAAGAGTTGTTGACTCTGAAAATTTAATCTATGGATAAGTTTCTACTTTTGTCTCTAGTTACCATTCTATCGGAAATTAAAATCTGACTAGTGGAAATTTGCTCATGCATGTAGTTTTAATATCCTTCAGCTAGCCATTCTAGAAGAACTGAAGATATTAGCAGAATAACGTGGGAGAGGATACAACTTACAACTCTGTAATTCATAGTCAACTCAGATGTTTAATCATGCAGTGCTCCAAGTCGTGTGCAAACATCACAACATTTTGGTAAGTAAAAGGCTAGAATATTCATTTGTTATTTCCATATTTCGTGGCATATTGACCATCAGATCATGTGTACTAAAGGCATCCCCTGTTTAGTGTTGACTGATACCCTTAATTGATGCTCGATCTACACTTCATTGGCACCTCAGGTGACACTTGATTGACACTCCGTCGACATCGTGGTTGACAGACGGTTGGGAGTCAACCAAATTTTTGATTGATTTATCTGAGCCGGTCGACACATAAATTAACAAAGACCTTTATTTGCTTTTACTTGATTTAAAATTTTGTTGGCAAATTTGTCTGGACATTTCCCTCCATGAGATGCAGCTGCAGGGAATCATGGTAGTTGTATTCATCATCTTGGACTGGATATTCGTTTCGATGAATACATAATACTGCCATGATTGCCTGCAGGCGTGTCTCATGTTAAAGTTATTTAATTTCAGGATTTTTTTCAGTGGAAAAAATGTACGAGTAGTTGCTAACTGCATGACTATTTTGCAGTGAAAGTAAGCTTTAAGTAAGCATTTTAGGAATGGAAGGAGTTTGCTAATCAAATGTGAAATTATTTTGGTATGTTTATATGCTCCTTTTCACATATGAACTACAGGGGAAATAAGAAAAAAGATAACACTACTGATCATGAAGAGATCTGAGGAAACTGCTGAGGAACAGCAATATTCCCAGAGGTATGTGTATTCCTCATTTCTTGTCACAGTTCATCGTCAGATTTGTTGGTTTTTGAGATTGCTATTTTGCAGCCATAAAAGATCTTTGTTGCACTGAGATGTCTGTAACAGACAGGCAGGCAGGCAGATGTACTGCTCTGATTGGCTTTAGGCCTTTTTTGTGCCATATTAGCGGTGTACTTTTAAAATGACCCCAAGTCTTTGTTCTCTTCTGAAATTCTAGCTGGGGACAAGCCCTTGTTCAGCTGGCAAAATTAGCCTGTAACTGGTTCTTAATGACATACCTGTGTGACCAAACCTTTGAGTAGAATGGAGAGAAATACAAAAGAAAAGGCTACCAGTTGAGTCCCCTCTTCTATCCGTGACTCATGCGTTTCTCTGAAACGTGTGATGCACTATGGTGAAAATATTTTTCTGCAGACAGTATCAGTTCCCAGAAGCAAACAGTTTTCTCAGAGCAAAGTTCAAGGAAAACCGTGAGCTTTGAGGAGTACATAATGCCAAAGAGATATATCCTTGCATATTTTGAAAGTCAAAATATGGAGCTATTGTGTTTATTATCCTTCAGTTATTTTACACAACACGCTGGATCTTTTTAAAAATGAATATTTTCCCAGTCTAAGCTGGGACATAGTCACGTGATACGATTAGACCAACCACGCGATCAAAAATATGTTGATGGACTATAGACAAGGCTATTTTCACTGCTCTTTTGTTAGTGGACTGAGTTTAAGATTAACATTACAAATCTGCGGTAAAAGTTTATATGTGTTATTGACGGAAGCGCAGACTATTCGGAGGAGGAGTAATGATCTGATTGGTCACGTTTTATTAATGTGATATTAGCAAAAACTATAGGNTCTGCGGTAAAAGTTTATATGTGTTATTGACGGAAGCGCAGACTATTCGGAGGAGGAGTAATGATCTGATTGGTCACGTTTTATTAATGTGATATTAGCAAAAACTATAGGTAAACTTTAAGGAATAGACTGGCAAGGTTCACCCTTAATTAATTTACAACATTTTGTCTGTTTGCTTCTGTTTAGACAAATGTGGACAAGCAATGGTTGACAGGATGGACTTATCCAGTGAAGATGCACTGATGAATTTCGTCAACGCCTTATAATTAGGCGATGTGAAAATGTGTCTTCCGTGGAAAGCATGGGGATTCAGTTTACATTGACCACCAAGGCAGGTTAACCTCTTTGATGAGAAAGAAGTGGAAAACACTGTATTCGATTCCACTTATAATGCAAGAATGAGCAAGTGCAAGCAGCAAAAAAGGAGAACTGCCAAACCATTAGGAGTTCCATGCAGCGGACTGTGCCATCTGGAAAGGACGCTTATACTTGAATACACTAGTTGACTGTGGAATGAAATTTTGAGCGAAGTTTGTCAAAAATTTCCAGAAATTTTACGGTTGTCCTCCCTATTGTCTAGTCTGGTCCAGAAAATTGAAGGAACTGAGAATTTACCATAGTACCTAAGTGTTAGATAAATGTGCTTTGTGCCATGGAAGATTTGTTGACTTTCGTTTTCACTATAGACAGAACAATTTTTTTCCTTATGATCAGTCGTATTGCGTGTAGTTTGCCAGTGAAACCGAGCCTGTAACCTGGCTTTTAGAAGCCTGAAGCCCAAAACATTTGTGCTTGAAGGTACTTATTCCTGATTAAAAAGGGGGAAAAAATTAAAACTGGGATAAAGTTGAGAAGTTCGGGCGAGACGCGCGGGCGCGGAACGCGCAGAACACCTTTGACACAGGCATCTTGCGTCACAGGCATCTTCGACCACGTCAGACAAATTTGATTGCACTTTTGACCCGCCTTTGACAGTACGCAAAGGCGCATCAAAGGATCACCTTTAGCGCGCAAATCAAAGTCGTTCACAGGTGAGTAAAAACGGCCTTTACCGCCTTTGATTTTGGTAGCAAAGGTGTATTCAAAGATGTCTTTGATGCGCGTCAAAGATCTTCAAAAGCGTGCAAAGGTGGCCTTTACAAAACCCTTGACCACACATTTGACGCGCGGTAAAGCCGATTTTTTGTGCCGTGGTGGTCACCCATCCAAGTACGAACCCCGCCGAACAGGGCTTAACTTTGTTTAGTATGCGGGTTGTGGTGCTGTCCTTGTGGTACAGTGACTCTACGCTCAACGCATTTTTTGATTTCTAAGATGACAAAAGGTAACAAAGAGAGAGGAAAAAAATCACTGATACTGGCTGGGAAAATAGAGAACGAAAAAAATGAGAGGAATGAAAAAGAGAATTATTACTTGCCTTGGTGATCGGACAAGAAGCGGTACTTTCTTTATAATTGCCTCGGTCTCTCGGACCGATAACTTCATGAATGTTTTCAACAGTGTTACACCTCCTCGTGTATTCGCTTACCGTTGCGTTTTGCACTATTTCTTAACAATGCCTGTGGGCTTTAACTTTAACTTTACCGACGGATTAGAACCTCAAGTCAGTGGCAGCAAAATTGCCACTGTTTACTAACGATCCAAGTTGAGTGGCTCATAGCCACTTTGATTTCTTCTAAAATGTCACAATTAAAACTGTTGCGTTGGGTGTCAGCTCAAGAGAAGCTAAGAGAGCGACAACCCTGAGTGATTTTCAAGCTCAGTCATTTGAGAACAACAACAGAAAACATGTCTGCAATGGACTTATGGATCAGTTTAAAGAACGAAATAAGTGCTAGCTTGCTCTGCACTTTGTGCCCCCACAGTGTGCTCAGTTACGTTTATTGACAATGGTTTCTTCAGAATATGAGCCCAATCATCTTTGTAACAGAGTATGTGAACAGAACCTTAAGAAAATAAGCTCACCAAAGAATTATTTTAAACAAAAATAAACCCGGTACTCATCGAAATCTTACAATATGTGTTTTTAATTTTTTTTTCTCAAGCATCTGAGCGGGCCGGAATCCTAAATCCTCGAATTTGATCGGCTAATCACGCGCTTTTTACGATACGGCCCACGGGCCGGATTTTTTTCCCCGCTGTAGCGACTACAGCTCCTAAATTTCGTTCCTAAAAGTTACCGGAAATCGTCAATCTTTTGCCATTTGTACATCTCCATCGACGATTAGTCAACGCAAGTTTATCTCTGTTCTCTTAATGCGTCAGTCAATTCCAGCAGTGCCCATCCCCCCCCCCCCGGGCTAACCCCCGGGCATTAACATTTTTTGTAAATAAATGGGCAAATTCCCCGGGGTGAGGATACATAAGCTGTCTAAATGCCCCGGGGTGGGGACGGAGAAAGAGGGCAAATGCCCCGCCGGCGGGATCGTCGCCTTCCAACACCTCTGCAGTTTTTTTTTATTAATCGGTGAATAAAACGTTCAACTGTTCAGTATTTTAATGCAACGGTAAGACTTTAAGGACAACAGTACGTGTTAGTTGATTCTGATT